CTTTCCACCCGCCGGGAGCCGGGGGGAGGGGCGCTCGGGTCCCGCCGGGCCGGGGCTTGTATCTTACCCCCTTCGCAAGGCGCTGGGTTCTTGCAGGTGTGGATGTGGTCTGGATGTTGTCCTGTGTCCTGTGATCTCTATTTTAGGAAGATTTTTCTTTGTTATATTTTCATAGCTCTATGTGTTTTTGGGAGGAGATTTCCACTGCTCTACTCACGCCACCATCCTGGCTCCGCCTGTCATGCCCTTTTGTACCAAATTGTATAAGGGCTTCAGAATTCATGGCAAGTGCAGGATAGACACTCTCCTGCAGCCTAAAAGACCCAAAAACTCTTGAATGGTACAGCCGCACCATTGGTGGTTTCTCCCATGTAGGCAAGTCCTGAGCTACAAGTCCATGAAAGATGGTGGGGTTTTGGAGGTGTCTCTGTGGAAGGACAGTGAAAGTCCATTGCCATCCTTGCCACTTGAAGGCAAACTGTTCCTGTTCTAGGTAAATGGAAAAGAAGGCATTAGCAAGGTCTACAACATAATGATATGCCCCTAGTTCATGATTGAGGAGGCCCATAAGGCCTGTTATAGAAAGCACGGCAGCATGCAGAGGGGGTATGACTTTATTCAATTCTCTGTAATCCACAATCATATGCCAGGAGCCATCTGGCTTTTTCACTGACCACACTGGGGAATTAAAAGGACTATGGGTGGTTTTTATAATACCCACATTCTCCGATTCCTGGAGGGTTTCTCCAATTTCTTTATGCCCTTCAGGCAATTTGTATTGTTTGGTTATTAGTCACCCACTGAGGCACAGGCAAAGCTATGGGCAGATGCTTAGCATAACCCCTCAGAACACCCTTTACCATACTATCCTCCATCTGAACTCACTTGGTCTGTAACCATAGGCCCTGTAAGATATCTATCCCCAAAATATATTTGGTGACGGGAGAGATATACAGTGCATACTCCTTTTGGGGTAGACACCCTATACCCAATAGGATTTAGGCTTGTTTCATTCTGATAGCTTTATACTCATACCCATCTATAATAGCAGGTAGGGGTCCCAGGAAATTGCTCAGGATTGCCATAAATCAGTGAGCATTCAGCACCAGAAGCAGTATACATTGTGCATTCACTAGGACCAATGAATTGATAATTCAACATGTGGCTTCTGGTCCCCACCTGGTTCCCCAAGGCAGGTGCCTTGACCTTCTCCTAAGTCATACTGTATTGCCCAGTTGTCTTCCTATGAGGGTCCAGGTGGGTTGGCTCACTCTCCAACAGGAAGTCTCATAGGTACACAGGCTGGACTTGTAGCTTTTTCTCCAGCTTCCATTTCTTGGTCCTCCCTTTAGTAAGCTGCTGAAACTGTTGTTTCAGCTTTAATTGCTGCCACAGCTCCAGTAAGATTTTATTTGACTTTCCATCCAATATATCTTTATCTTCTCCAGAATTCATCAAATTAACCCACATCTGGGTCCTTGTGACCTTCATGGGGCCTTTTAATCTCTTCCTCTGAGTAGCGGACTGTATTCCCTTCTGTGATCTCACTGTATCAGCCTCTCCCAAGTCTGCTACCATATGGGTAACCTCACTTATGGGCTGCCCTAAGTGAGGGGCAAAAATGGCCACTAGGGTCCCAAAGAGGGATGGGGGAGCTACTTGAAGCACCACATTTCTCATCCCCACAGTAAAAGGCTCCTCATTTGAGTCATAATTTTCTGGACAATGGCATTTTTTATGCCTAACTCATAACACCTGCTGGAGCTCAGCATACACCTGCCATCTAGCAGGGGAAGATGGCAAATCACCCTGACTGGGCCATACAGCATCAAGTGCAGCCATAAGCCAACCAAGGAGGGAGTGATTTTTCTGGGGTCTGACGTGCATTTTGCAGTCACTGCTGCAGGCAAGAAGAACCAGGGAAGCCAGCTTTCCCGTCTGTGATTCAGAGAGAACAATTCCATTCACCCCTGCATTCCAAAGATACAAGAGACAAGCTGATATTGACTCCAAGGTCTTCTGCTGAAACTGGAAGCCCAAATCCACCAGCTCGGCCTGTGTAAAAGGTTGGAGCATAGACTGCTCCACAACCTGGGGAGGAGGCTGCACCTTTCCCAGAAGAAACTGCAGTTGCTGCATCTTTATTTTCTTGACTACAACTGGGTACGCTTTCAGTAGAGGGGTTGGGACCTCCAGCACTGGCACCATCTCCACCCCCACCCATTCATCTTTCCCCAGCTCCTCCTCCATTTCCAGGGCTGTCAGCAGCTTTCTCACTGCTCCCCCAAGTGCCTCCTCTGCTACACCCTTTACCTTTTCTACAGTGCCTTGCAGTGACACTAACTCAGCCTTCAACAGCTCTCTTACCTTCAACTCAATGCCTCACAGCAGGCATTCTCATGCTACCTCTTCTTGTGCTTCTCACAGGAGTATGTCCTTCTCATTCATGTCTTTTGTCTCTTCCACAGCACCTCACAGTCTGCATTCTCTTACTGTCTCTTGTGCTACCATTACATTCTTTACCATTTCCATAGCACGTCATAGTGATGCATCTCAGTCATCAGCAAATTTTTTACCTCCTCTATGGCACCGTGCAGCTTGTGGTCTCATGCTGCTTCTTCTCCTCATGCTTCTCTCAGGAATACATCCTTCTCCTTTATGACTTTTCTTAACACTGTGAGAAAAAGGCAACCTATAGTTCCTGCCTCCTCGCAGGCACTCTGTTTCTCTTAAGGAATTCCCTATTTTGCTGAGGCCACCTCCAATGCCCCAGGTATTACCTCCACCTCTCCCCAGTCCTGGAGAGGGACCCAATCCTCTAGGAGGCAAGCCACCTTGGACCACATGCCCACTGGGAGATATCTGAGTGTCTCCTCACCCACAGGGGCAGCCTGCTGAAGTATCTCTCCTATGAGAGTATTTTATTCTGTTTTTTTTGGTCTGCAGCAAATCCTGCTGATATTACCAAATGTCTCGTCTCACCTGAGGGTTTTGGCCCCAGGCAAGTTCACTCTGGATTTGGTGAGACCAAAAAATGACAACAAAATTTTGGGAGTAAGAAGGTTTATACCCAGCTTTTTTCTCATGGTGGCAGGTCAAGTGCTAGAATCCCATCTACCTCAGGGCATGTCTGCATGCAGCAAGCCAGTCTCTGGCTCTGGGCCTCTCTCCTGCCTTGCAGCCCCAGAGCACTGGGAGAAGCCCTTTATGCAGAGCCAGTAACAGCTCACTGCCAACACGTGTGTAAGCCTGCGCCTGTGAGCACTGCACGTGCACAGTGGGCGAGCAGACCAGGGTCAGGTGAGGCTCCTGGCCATGGAACTTCCATTTTCTCAACAAAAATTCCCAAGAATTAAAAAGGAAAAGGAATGGACAATATATTGCTAGAGGGACCTCTGTAAATTACCTGTTTTTATGACCACTTGTATCCTGGGAGGGACTGAGCTTTAGCAAGTTGAACAGGTTCAGTGTCAAAATGCTGAAGAAGCCACATACAGGCCCAGAGAGACCGAGGAAGGGCTGCTGCAGCAGGGGAGGTGGCTCTCTTCATCCTCGGTGGGTCCAGAAGCGTCACTCAGGTGAGAGGCAGAGTAAGATCTGGGCAAGTGAGGAAAAGGCAGTGCTGAAGCATGCAAGCCACAGCACAACTGCTATAAGCAGTCATCTTTTTAACCTTGGCTCCCCACCCCTGCCAACCTTTAAATATATATATTTAGCAAAATGTATATATAAATATATATTTATATATATGGTGAAAACACCCAACTTCTTGTTCTTTGCTCTACCTCTGCTCCCTCAGATGAGATACAGAAATTCAGCTAAAATGCTGTCTACAAATGTTCAGCAGGAAAGGCACCAACAAGATGACTAAGCAATGGAAGCAAAACAAGTATTGGGAAAATCCATAAACTACATATCACCCCCTCTGCAAATCACTCCAGTCTTGGCAATAGAGCCTCTACAAGCAAAAGTGGAGTTTACATGGGTGTAACTTTTCCCTGGAATTGCAAAAAGCCAAAGACTCTGGGTCTCTCCTAACAAAACACTTGCTCTAACCACCAGGGGTCAGGCTGCAGCTAAGAACCAGCCCCAGACACCCCAAAGCAGAGCTCCCTCCTAATTTGCCCCAGCCTCTGCTGAGCAGGCCTGAGAGTTCACCCAAACAGCCAAGTATGTGGAATTCCTTTCCCATTTGTATTAGAAGCTGCTTGGTGTTGGTTAGATACATGAATGAATTATTCCCTCATTTCCATATAAATATGAGAAATTTAAATTTAAGAATTTCTTAAAAGGGTGGGACAGGGGAGCTTATTTCACAGCATACTCTGGTCCCTTGCTCATGGAGGCCAATTCTGGAGCTGGGGGGTAAGGGCTCAAGAATCAGCAACCTACGCAAACTCTTTGAGTGGTTCTGATGCAGGTGGTGTGGGACCCCACTTTGACAGACAATGCTTTAAAGCAGTTGCTGAAACCCTGGGCAGACACTCAGCTGAGCCTTTGGCTTGTGCTCTGTCCAGGACTCAAGCAGGCAGATGGGATTAGGCGCAGGCACCCTGCACGCTCAGGGCTGTAGGCCATTGGGAGAGCACACCTGAGCTGCTGCAGCTACTCCTGGCCACGTGAATAAACACCCAAGGTGGGATGATGGAGGCGGAGATGAAGAAAAATTATTCCTGGTCAGTGCTGGACTAAGACCTCTGCTGGCTGCCCTGCCTTCTCTCCATGCCCTTTGTGCTCTGTGTTCCCTCTAATCATTTCTGGGCACTGATTTCCTTATTTTACCTGCTTTGATGAGCCTGCCTCCTCTTTATTGTCAGGAAAGCATGCTGGATTTAGAGGGAGCTAAAATCTCTGCTCAGGATGATGTTCACTGTCATTCACTGGTGCCAAGACATAATTTAGTATATGAGCACCCTGATGTACTCACCGTTTTGCAGGGAGGAGTGGGAGTGAAATATGATATAAATTATGCACATTCCTGTTAAGATGCTGCCCAGTTACAAATCAATTAAAAATGTGTTTTAGGATAGAGAAAGGTTTCTCTCTTCTTCTCATAACCTAATGATACCACATTCATTTAACTCAAGTTCATCAAGTACCTGCTGTGCCAAAAAACTGTCCTAGGAGCTGTGGGAGGGCTAAGCAAGATTCATGATGTCATCACCGTGAAATAATAAAATAATACAGGAATAAATTAGTGAATCAGAGAGTTGGAGACTGAGACCAGTGCTATTAAATAAATAGGGTTATGTGGCAGAGATGCAATAGAGAGACCAGTTTCAGATAGGGTGTTCAGACAAGAACTCTCTGAGGAGGGGTCAAAAAGCCAAGGCTGGAATGAAGAAATGGACCAGGGAAAAAGTATTCTGGACTGTACTTCCAAAAAAATATAGAGGACTTTCATGTGGTTTCTACCAAGCTCATCAGGTACCTGGCCCATGGCTGCAGAAGACTTTCTCTCATTGCTTAACTCAACATTTATTGAGCACCTTTTCTATGCCAGGTGATGCTAGTTCCTCAGGATGCAGGTGTGAGCAAGAAAGACATGGTTTCTGCCCTCCTGAGGTTTATAACCTGGTGCAATTTTAAAGCTAAGGTTCTGCTGACCCTTAATGTCCAAGCTTACTATTTAACCTCATCATAGAAAACCTAGTTTCGATTTTGGATTAGCATGGCCTTGAGGGGGAGGACTTTATGATTACAAATATCAAAACTCAATGGGAAAGTCATCTGTGGAGGTTCCAAGAACCTGAATACAGTGTCTAGTGGCTCAGATTAAATAATAATAAAAACAAAAACCAACCACCACTCCCCACCCATTTTTTGGGGGAAAATCCTCTTAGCTCTCTAGCATTCCCTTCATTCCATTCCAGTTCTGAGTGAAAATAGGAAATGGGTTTCCAAAGCAAAGCTCCTATTTTTCATACCTGAATTCAGCCCAGTCACTGTCATTTTGGGTACCATCTCTTGGTGCTTAGCAAAAGCACAAGACCTGTCCTGTCCCTGATGGCCTCCTGCCCATACTTTTCAGATCTTGGAGCTGTCAAAGGGGAAAGTAATATGTGTCTTTGAGCCTCTCAGTTGCCTTTTTGAAGTTCTCACTGAAGATGAATATGGAAATAAAAATGGCAACAATCCATAGGAAACCTTTACTCCTACCCTCCCAAGAAGTGCCTGCTTATCCCATAGCACAAATTTATAACTGACAGATACTGGAAAACCCCTCATAAAAAGCAGATTTTTTTCCCCCTGGGTTTCAGAAAATTCCCTCTGCATCTGAACTGCTAATAAAGAAGAAAAGAACCAGCTGAAATAAGGAGAAGACTGCCTTGGGCCACAGGCAGGAGTGGCCTGGAACTGGTGCAATAGGGCTTCCAAAGTGATTTGATGTGTACACAAGAACCCTGAGCTTTACCCTATCAGCAGGCATGGTGTGAGGCCTGGAAATAAATCAGTCTTGTGAAAAACCTTTGTTGGAGCTTCTGAGAATCATTTAAGTTTGTGAACCCTTGAGTTTGGAGACAGACTGATCAACGATTTCCTAGTCATCCTATCCTCCCATCTTGACAGCCTCGGTTTCTCCACCTGCTCCCTCCAAATACCAGACTTCAAGTTCCATCTTCTGCCCCACTTTCTGTCCTTAGCCCCTAGAGGCCTGCAGCTGAAACCTGAGTCAGCTCCCAGTCCCATGCCAGGTGGAGCAATTGACTTGGGCTGCTTCAATAAAGGCTTTGGGTTACCAGACACCCATCTGTTGGCTGTTCTCACTTAGGAAACTGGAGTCAGATCACTTTCACTGGGCATCAACCCCACATGTTCCAGTGTACAGGGTGGAAGGGAGATCCACCCTGCCTTCTGGCACTTTCACTACAAACAATTCCCATGTGGCTCCCCAAAGCCCTTTTCATTACTATCCCATCACCTCCTGGAATAGCCTGCATGTGCTGTCAGGAAGAGCCCGTGTCCAGAGGAACAAGAGCCTCTCTCCTCCATTCCACTTCTTGGACACAGCAACCACGTACTCTGTTCATTCAAGATGAATTTGAATTTAACAGCCCACTTCTCAAAACAAAGACTGATCTCCACCCAACTTGCTTCCATCTGCTGGTCCTTTTTTCTTTATTGTTTCTGGGAACCCAAGTTTCTATGCTAATGAGTGAAATTTGTATTTTTAAAAAAGTTTTTATTTCCTAAAAACCTTTATTTTTTAAAAAGAATTTTACTATTTAAATAAACATAATAAGAATAAATTTTTACTATTTACATAAAAAGAAATAAAATTAAAAATAATTTAATTTTTTTAAAAAGAATGTACTACAAAGCCTCTAACCAAAATATAAATTTCCTCTTCCTTCTCTCACCAAATATTAACACTTTCAACTCAACAGGTAGTTTTAGAAGTATTTGCCTCCATATTTCTAAGTGACATAATATTTGTATACTGCTTTTTTTTTCAATTTGGAATGTTATCTGCTAATTTCCTATTTTGGAAGATGAGAAGATAGAACTTTTGCACACATTCACTCTTTCTTACCACCCTATCTAAATTTCCCTCTTCTCCCAAGGGTTACATCATATTACATGGATATTATAATAGTTTCCACTATGATTGTGTTGTTGATCTAATAGCAGCATGATTGTGTTTCTCTTCAACATTTTTTGCTCAGAATTAATAATTTCCTCTTTTTATTTGCTATGAATGTATCATTAAATTTTCCCACATTCTTCACAGAACTACAAAATCTCTCAATATTGTGTTCTACTTGGCATACACATTGAGTGATCTGTCAGTTTTATTTTCCCCCTGGAGACATCCTCTGGGAACCCTCCACTTCCCTGCTTCTACATGGACAGGCTGCTCCCTAAATTGGCTGCATAGCCTTCAGCCTGTAGTTCCCTCTCACTTCGCTCCTATGCTGGGTCCTCTGTTTCCTGAAATTCATAGCTATCTTCATCTTACTTGATTTACTCCCCTATTTTGTGGGAGCACATACTTCAGTAGCTTTCTGTGTATGAAGATATGGGAGATACATTTTAAAAGACTTCAGTGTCTTTATTGTAGTTTTTTTTTTACTTATTTTTATTAAGGTATGATTGATATACACTCTCATGAAGGTTTCACATGAAAAACAACGTGGTTACTACATTTACCCATATTATGAAGTCCCCACCCACACCCCAATGCAGTCCCTGTCCATCAGTGTAGTAAGATGCCACAGATTCACTATGTGCCTTCGCTGTGCTACACTGTTCTCCATGTGATCCCCCAGACCATGTGTACTAAACATAATACCCCTCAAGTCCCTCCTCCCTCCTTCCCCACCCACCCTCCCACACCCCTCCTTTTTGGTAACCAATAGTTCATTCTTGGAGTCTCTGAGTCTGCTGCTATTTTGTTCCTTCATTTTTGCTTCATTGTTATACTCTACAAATGAGGGAAATCATTTGGTATTTGACTTTCTCTGCCTGGCTTATTTCACTGAGCATAATGTCCTCCAGCTCCATCCATGTTGTTGCAAATGGTAGAATCTGTTTCTTTCTTACTGCCGAATAGTATTATTCTATTGTGCATATATACCACATCTTCTTTATTCATT